GAAGTCACAATGAAAACTGGTCAGCTGTAAGCCACCAGAAGTGTTCAAGCTGACCCACCTAGCATGAACTTCAGAAAGAGTTGAAAAAAAAAAAAAAAGACATGTTTTGGGTAAACTGGCAAATTTGGTCATTTTAGCAGCCTGATCTGTTGACTTCCACCAAACTGGCCCGAGATCCAGGAACTGGGTGCTCTGTTACCCTATTGGGGTGCTTCTCCCCACCAGCAGTATTGCTGGAGAGATGCACCCCACCCTGGTCGGCAGCTTGTAGTTTCCCCCTCCAGTCGCACCTCGCAGGCATACAGAGGCGGGTTCCTATAAGCTTAGTGTGACTGGCGTCCTTCCCTGAGCTCAGCTCTGGGCAGTTCATCCCTGACGCTCTCCTCAGCTCACCATCCCCCAATTGACTACACACAGCTGTTTTTTTGGGGGGTGGGGGGAGGGAAGTGGGAACCGGGTACTCGACCTCTGAGCCACGTCTCCAGCCCTATTTTGTTTGTATTTAGACACAGGGTCTCACTGAGTTGCTTAGCACCTTGTGGTTGCTGAGGCTAGCTTTGGAATCACGATCCTCCTGCCTCAGCCTCCCGAGCCGATGGGATTACAGGCTCGTACCTTGTGCCTGGCAACACACACACAGCTCCTTAGGACACACTGTCACTGTGTTTACAGTCAGAACACTGGCCACAGGGACCACACCTCTACAGACAGGTTCAGTGCTCCAGCAGCCTCTGCTCCCTGGGGTGCCTTCTCCTTTGTGTCTGGATGGCCTGTCTGTAATCGAGTCTCCCGTGTGCCTACGGCTGGCTTGCTTCCTAGAGCAAGCACACCCTTTGAAGCTCTTCTTCCAAATGGCTTTACTCTGGATATATTTTTGGATCGTGATGTCCTTCACCTCAAACAGCAGCTTGCCGGTCTGCGGTCCCCTTGCTAATCTCAGTCTGCACCATGCCCGCTCCCTCGTTGCTCTTGAGGGGGTTCATTTTTAGATGACAGTCTGCCGTTTTGAAGCAGCAAATCTTTTGAACTTTCTAAAGATGCCCCTTTCCCCATCCTCACTCTCTTCAGATGGTGAGATCAGTCAGCACTACCCGTGGAGCATGCTTTGAAGGACTGAAAGCAGGATGCTAACAGGAACAGAAACCCACTCCTGTTTCTCTGCTCTACGCTCCTCCTGAATTCACCTGGTTTTCCAACTGGGCAGAGGACATTAGCTGCTTTTCTTGAAACCTAGTGATTAAAAAAGCCTTTTAGGGTAAGAGTGTGAGGGCAGAAGCAGCTTGTGGAGTAGGTAGATACTTCAAACTTAAATTGAAAATCTATAATAGGAAATACATGTCATCGTAACACACTGTAATATCAGTCTCCTACTGTCCAAAGTGACAGTAGTATTTTTCAACGGTCAAGTCAGGCATTGCACCCAAATTGTCATGGCCTGAAAAGGAGCCCTTTCTGATGAAAAGAGATGAATTTTGTTCTGGGTAGTGTAAATCTCTCTTCAAAATGCAGGTAGTGCTGAGCTTGGTGGTGCACATCTGTAATCCTAGCGAATAAGGAGGCTGATGCAGGAGGATTGCAAGTTTGAGGTTAGCCTCAGCAACTTAGCAAGACCCTGTCTCAAAATACATAAAGGGCTAGGGATGTGACTCAGTGATTAAGTACCCCCTGGGTTCAACCCCCAGTGCCAAAACAAAACAAAACTAACCTCCAAGTGCAGTTAGTATCACTGCATCATTGAGTGTCTGTAGGACCCATGGGATCGGCCTTCTCTAAGACTCGGGGACAAGAGTTAACTTCCCCAAAGAGCTAAGCACAGGAAATCATACTACTGCTGGGTGGTGCACAGGAAGCTGTAGAGTCATAAGGAAGCTCACACTTTATACATAAAATCATCTACTGGAATACAGAGGGAGCCCACGGCTGTTGAGTTGTCTCAATGACCTCTGCTACATTCATTTCCACACATTAAGATGTTTTAAAAGTCAAACAATAAAAATAGACTCAAGAGTAAAGGGCCTCTTAAGAACTTTAAAAATAGAATAAACTGAGCATAGTGAAAAAAACGTGGCTCAGGAAGGCAGCTGGTGTGTGTG